TTTTGGCTATTTAGATGTATTGTGGGTGGGCCTTTTTTAAACTACAATTGTGCGAATTGAATTAAATAATTTGATTAGTTGAATTAAAATATTTTATAATTGTCTTAAACTTAATTATTGTAATTAATATGGTAGATAATGAAAAATTAAATAATTTATTAATTAATATGATAGAATATTAATTAGTATTTAAATTTTCTTAAATACTATTTCAAACAAACAAGTTAAAATTACAAACATGAATAGAATTATTCAACTCACTTAAAATTGACGGTTCAAACACTAAGATTAAAATCACAACATAATGATAAACTAAAACAACACATCCTTAAAGCTCACACATACTAAAGCTCACACATACTATAACAACATAATTAATATAGAACATAAAAACTAAAAAGGTTTATAAAATAGACGATTTCGTAGACTTAATTGTCACCATATTAATCATTCAAATTTCCTCTGTCATGCCCGATATCGTCAAGAAATCCAAATTGACCCATTTTGAATGATGATTGTGTTGCTTGAGATTGTTGTTACTCAATTTCTCTTTCTTGTAAAATTTGCATTTGTTTTTGTTCCCAATGTCGACATATTTTGGGATTCGTAAGGGAATTCAAATCTATCATCAAAATTCTATCTTCATCCCTCCTTTTCTGCAAATCGATTAGTTGTTTCTGCAATTGAAGCTGGACATTTGACGTTCTTCGGCTTTCTGCAACAAATCAACAATAGTATCACTTTTAGCATTTAGAGTTTGAAAATATTGGCAAAATTGGTCTTCATTTTTCTTCTTCAATTTTGCTTTCTTCGCTTCCATTGGACGTTGAGAGGATGTTCCACCAACACCATCGTCACTTTGTTGAGGACTAAAAGACGAAAATCCCGACTCTGGTGTTGGTTGTCCATCATATGGAACGTCGGACTCGGAAGAGTCATTGAGTGTATCGAAATCCCGACGACGAGATCGTGTTGGGAAAACGTGGTTTTCCAGGTATGTTAGGTAGCTTGGACTACATGCACTGGGAATGGGAGAATTGCCCTAAGGCATGGGCTGGTAAATACTCTGGACGTTCCGGAAAACCAACAATCATTATAGAAGTTGTGGCAGATTATGATCTATGCATATGGCACACATATTTTGGTATGTCAGGTGCCAATAATGACATTAATGTGTTGGAAGCATCACCTCTAATGTCAAATCTTGCTGAAGGTATCGTTCCACCGGCTAATTATACCATTCAAGGTAAACAATTTAATATGAGTTATTATTTAGCAGATGGTATATATCCAAAATGGTCCACTATTGTTCAGTCATTTGTTGCACCATCAAATCCAATGGAGGAATACTTTAAAATGAGAAAAGAGGCATGTAGAAAAGATGTTGAGCGTGCATTTAGAGTTCTGCAAAAAAGGTTAGCGATCATCGCGGTCCTGTTCGTTTTTAGAAAAAAGAGGTGCTTAATGATATAATGAAAGCATGTATTATTTTGCACAATATGAATGTTGAAGAGCAACGGGATCTTATGCACCAATTAGAAGTTATGTTCAATTTGGTGCTCCTACGGTTACTCCAGCACCGCGAGATCACGTCTCTTTTCAACAATTTCTTGCTCGACACAAAAGAATCAAGGATAAGTCTGCCCACTATGAACTTCGTAATGCATTGGTTGCACATTTGTGGGAAAAATATTCTCATGGCAATAACTAGTGTTGTATTTTGTTTTCTGTAATTCTTGTTGTATTGAATGCTTCATGTTTGTGTTGATGTTTTTTTT